TGTACTTAGGCTGCTAGGTGTACTTAGGCCGCTACATGTACTTAGGCTGCAATGTGTACTTAGGCCGCTACATGTACTTAGGCTGCAATGTGTACTTAGGCCACCACATGTACTACTTAAATGCCAGATTGACTTGGTATCACTATAAAGATGTGTACATGGGAAGCTCTTCACCGCTGACACAAACCATGTCATGTGATTTAGGCATATTATATGATTTGTACATGAGCCCCATTTTATATTATATTCAGAATACATGAATATGATAATCTTCATATATTCTGTATCATGTTTAATGTTACGGGTAGTTTTTTAATGGCCTGATGATGAAGATTCACTCACAGTTATTTATGCTAACTATTATTATATTATAAATAAAATTGTTGAAACAGATTTATAAATAGTTATAAATGTAGTTGAACAATTTGCGAGAGAGGCTATTGCAATATTAATGTTTATTCTTCCCTTCATGAACTTTATGAATTTAATTTTATTGCAATAGTTTATATATTTAATGAGCTAATACTCAAGCAATACAGGCCAAATTTCAACAGATAAATAGGCATTATAAGCTGCATTGAACATTATTCAATATCAAATTTATTATGCAACTTTTTGAATTCCTTCAATTACAATATCATCACATCTCTTCAAACTTCCCCAAACAGAGCAAATTGGTCAAAAATATCACACATTAGATAATTTCCATCAACAAAAGAGGCAGTAAATGCACATATTACTACTCAAACTCTTTGGGATGATCAGAAAACATGTTAGCAAACTGTTCAAACTGCCAATTCTTAATTAACAACATAACACTTGGTAATTTGGATGTGCTTCTTAATTGCCAATTGTTAAATATACTTTTCAAACCCATAGATTTCTTAACCATAGAAAAAAAACTTAAATGGAATACATATGTAACAAGTAACTAATAATATCAAGTAGTATTATTAATATTACTGACCTTTGCCGTGCATATTCTAGTCTCTTGGCTCGCTGCTCTGGTGACTCATTAGCCATCTTCTGCTCGTACAAGGCTCGGTTGTAGACGTAGTTCTTGGTCTTGTAGAGCTCTCCATTGCGCTTCAGGCGACTGCATCACAATACAATAACATAAGGCATTAGCACATGGCACTGATATACTGTCATTACAAATTAATAATTTCATGACAAATAATATATAGAATAGGTACTTGAGAAGTAAATTGAAATGAATCACTACAGTTGCTGCTACACTGGCATTACAGATTTTCTGTATTTCATGACACATATGAGATAAAAATGTAAAATTTGAAATGCAACCAAACATTTAAAAGTGCTAAATTTGTGTTCAGCAAAGCAATTCAAGATAGTTATTCAAACACATATATAAGAACAAACATAAAACCTAAAAAAAATATATGTCAGACACCAATGACTCACGGCTGGCCAAGCTGGTTGAGTGCCCCCACCGATGAAGGCCGAGGAGTCGCATGGCCGTGAGGTCCAAGTCCTGACCCAAAGGAGCCCATGTGACCAATGCCACTCTTTTATGTTGACAATAAATTGAAGCATCCCCAGTTTCATCAAAAAAGAATTTGATATGGTTTTAGTGCATTTTCTCATTTATTAAAAAAACGCTATTGCACTCATCATGTCCGTCCGTCCGTCCGTCCGTCTGTCTGTCTGTCCGTCCGTGACTTCATGTTTTTGTTCACAAGAAAATGCGCTCTCTGTCGCTCACTGCAGTGAGTACTGAGTTATATTTTTTTACTGTAAATTGCAATACTTTAAAGAATTTATTTACTGCCTCAAGTCTCATTACTGGCAATGAAGGTCTTTGTAAGTACATTGTACTGCCAGTAAGTGATTGTACTGCCAGTAAGTGATTGTACTGCCAGTATGTAATATATTGTTGTGTCAAGACTAGCCCACAATTTGAAGTTTCATTTTGTTGTTGAACTCTCTTACATAAAATAATTTTGTTAACATAACATTCAAGTTGTGATAGCAAAAACGTACATAAAGGAAGAAAAGCAATAATATAAGAGAGAAAGCTTCAAGTGGTGCAAATTGGGAAATATTCTTTGAGTTTATCAAGATAAAATATCAATAAAAAAGTATGAATATGTAGGAAGAGAAATCAATACAAAATCAAGAAATCTTTGCAACAAATTAGATCAAAGTACAAAACAAATGTAGCAGAGTTCACTGAATATTCATTCTTGGTAGATATTGATATAATTTTAATAAAATTAATTTCATTGACTTTGCTTCAAAAAATTATGGATGCAAATTCACAATGAGCAAAATTATGAATCTTCTTCTTAATAAAAATTTTCAAAAATAAATCAAATTGAGGCATTTTATAAAAATGCTTAAGGCTCTCTGCATGACATTGAAGCAAGAAGTGACATGAACAATTTGGCAACAAAACCAAATAAAAATGAAACTGTTTTCCATCTATACTCATCTTGTTCCATGCAAAAGAGAAAAATTATCTATTGAAGTGGTATAAAAACTTGGTAAAAAAATAACCCATTTATATTATTCGCACTTGCATAAAAAAAAGGTTTTTTCTAAAAATGGTATGAAAGTCTCAGTAACAAAATAGCACAAGTACGACATTAATATTGTTATTACGTGCAAAGAAAAAGAAAGGATGAGCAATTACAAAAAGCAAAAGACGGCATCGCGCAGTAACGCAGCGTACCTTTCTTTGGCCATTTGGTTGCGTCGAGCCAGTTCCTCGGGCGTCAACATAGTCTTGAGACGATGGTACCTGCATGCCCAACAACCAAGTTATCTAATAGGCTCAAGTAAGTGCAAGGTGCTTATAATCTTTATAGGTCAATGTGATCAAAGAAACTATCAAAACCAATGTTATGATCAAGTTTCTAAGTCAGGGTGCGCACTGGTCATAAAAAACTGGAAAGTTGTATATGAGTCTGGAAAATTGCAAGTCGTATACAAGCCACTCGTATCTGACTTGCAATTTTCCAGACTCATACCGGTATACGACTTGTAAACCTGAAAAGTTGTATATGAGTCTGGAAAATAATGAGTTGTATAATAGTCACTCATATACCTGTCTCTTATACACATCTAGATGTGTATAAGAGACAGGTACCTGCATNTTAACTTCAGGAGCTGGTCTCATCCCTAATTTCTTTATACATCTGCTTACTCAAGCTTAGGACCTGTTGTCTTTGGGATCAAGTCCCACAATAAAAGTTCAATTTGTTTCTTGTGTTAGCATTAAGCCTAACATTGCAGTACTCAGTTGTTTTACCTAGTTGTACATTAATGCAAGTTCTATCATATAATTGTTTCTGTTGTTGGTTAGATTTGTGTTGCAATTTATTGACTAGTATTTGATGTCAATTACTCTTATTTTGGGTAACTGTAAATTTGCTTCAATAAAGCTTGGATTGCCAAGCCTTCCTTGTTTTACTACATAACCAGTTTCATTTACTGATATTTACTTTGATTCTTCAACACATTCAACACTTGAAATTTAAAAATAAATTTTTTTCACAATTCACTTTCAAGTAATCATAATTCATTACTCCTAATAAATTCAATTTTAGTAATTAAAATTCATTCCTCCTAATGAATTTTAATTACTCCTAATGAATGAATCAGAATAATGAAATCCATGCTGCAGCCATGGACAAAGAAGTTTTGTAGAAGATATTTCCAATAAATATATTAAAAAAGAACTATGAAGACACTAAGCAAATAACAAGAAAATGAAGCACTCATTAACGACATCTAGAAAGTATAACTAAACTAATTTAGTCAAGCAGGCTCCAATTCATGTCATTCAAGCCACATGAATGATGAAGATGAAGAAAAGCAACAGTCACAACAAAAGCTCCTAACCCGGGGCCATACTTTCAAAACTGGCTAAGTGAACGTAAGTACTTACGCTCTATTTTCTTATCTGTGATTGGTGCATTTAGCTCATAAGGCTGTCAATGATTGGCTGATGAACTTATGATCTCTTAACTTTTTTGAAAGTTTAAGCCCTTGTCATTAACTTTGCTAGATCTCATCAGACAAATATTATTCAACAAAATAAAAAACTCAGTTTCTTCTGCATTTAGCAATGTTTTTGTTGTTGAAAATGATTGGTTACAAAAGGCAGCTTACAAGTTCCGTTCCCCCACTGGACAGTAGATTGTGCTGTAGGTTTATCTGAATGTATACTAATATTTCATTAAAGTATGCTTTTAAAAATAGTTCATTAATTATGATAATGTACTAGGTAATAGATTATTTAACTGTGTTTCTGTGATAGGTCATCAATTATGTTAATGAACTAAGAGTTCATTCAATTATATTTCCATTTTAATATAAAATAATAACTGTTTTTTATATTGCTTCATTAATTATGTTAATGAAGTAATGGTTCATACAATTGTATATTTTGATTTATTTAAAGAAGCAGTTCAGTCATACTGACCTCTCTTTAGCTTTCATATTTCGTCTATGCCGCTCTTCGGGTGTCTCAGTTGCCGTCATGCGGTGATACCTGCACAACACAACGAGACACCCGTCAGCTCATGGCTAAACATGGACACCCGTCAGGTCTATGCTAAACTTGGACACCCATCAGGTCTATGCTAAACCTGTCTCTTATACACATCTAGATGTGTATAAGAGACAGGTATAGTGGCAGTACATGTACTGTACAGTGGCAGTACATGTACTGTATAGTGAGTACATATGTACTGTATAGTGGGTACACATTTTGGCATTTTTTGACATATTTGAACATTTTACAATGAAATAAATAGTTTATCAACATTTATATATCACAGTCATGCTACTACAATATTACACTCAAACTTATACATGGAACAATTCACTGGTATGAAGGAAGTGGGGGCACCAAGCCTAGCCAGTCTCAAGGGGGCCGTTTTGGTTAAAAATCAAAAATTGACTTTTTGATTTTTGCTATGAATTTGAAGCTTCAAATCAAATCTTCAAAATCAAAAAATGGAAAAACGCGCATGAAATAAAAAGGATGGAGAAAATTTGAAATTGGGGCTCTAGAGCCCATAGATAATTTTATTACGAATTGAAAGAAACGTGTCTCAAAATTATAGCATGTGAGTTGCAAAAGTTATGAATTTTTGAAGTACCCNAAGAGATTCGTCTGTCTCTTATACACATCTAGATGTGTATAAGAGACAGGTATAGGGCCTGTGGCCGGATTATCAAAACTTCGTAACTTTTTGTACTTACGACAAAAAAGTTATGTGGTACGTAAGTACACCCTAATTTTGGCATTATCAAAACTTTCGTACGCAAGTCTTAGCTAAAAGCATAAATAAAGCGTAAATGTCTTTACCGCTCAAATTTTTCCCACTCAAATGTTTTGATAATACCACCGCTAGTATTACGTTGTCATAGCAACGCCACTCATAAGTCGATTTTGCGTACTTACAAAGTTTTGATAATACAGCCCCTGGACTTTGAAGTTGCCTTTCAAAAAAAACACCAGTATAGGGAATATGTCTTACTCTTATGGCTCACCAGCCAAACTGGCTTTCAGAGTACATTGCTTTGCATAGCTCAACAAGTTTGTGTAGTTTGTGTAAACAAACTGCATGAGCAGTTTGTTTACATTATCC